GTTCTCACTAAGTTCCTTGAAATTGTCATTAACTTCCTTGAGCATCTATATAACCACTGTTTTGAATTCTGTCTCTGGTAGTTTGCTTGCTTACATTTTATTTAGTTTATCTTCTGGAGATTTCTTCTGTTCTTTCATTTGCAACATGTTTGTCTCCTCATTGGTTGCTTCCATATGTTTCTTTGTCTTCTCATTGGCTGCTTCCCTGTGTTTATTTCTATGTATTATGTAGTGCTGCCATGTATCCTGGAATTGGTAGAGTGGCCTTGTGTATGTAGTAGGTGTCCTGTAGGGCCCAGTGACTCAGCCTCCCCAGTCCCCTGAGCTAGGAGAATTCTAGGTACACCCCTGTGTGGGCTGTGTGCACTGTTTTATTGTAGTTGAGCCTTGGTTGCTGTTAGCATCACTAAGAGGAATTGACCCCAAAACCAACTGGCTATGAGGACCAGCTGGTACTACAGTGGAAGAGCTGCTGTGCAGAGTCATCCCTATGGATCAGGACTTGCTTCAGTAGGGCTTTGGTGCTCACTGAGTCTACCCCTTGAGTGTGTCATTATGGATGTGGTAGGGTTGTAATTTGGTTTAGTCTGAAGCTGACCACCGGGTGCACTGGCTCTGAGGCCTCCTGGGAGGTGCAAAGTCAGCTACTTCCAGTACCCTGCTTGGGTCCACCTGGCAAGAGCTATCAAGCAATGTGTAAGTGGCTGATACTTGTGTTGAGCTTGGAGGTGCCCAGGAGAGGCCAAGCTGTGAACCAAGGCAGGCTGCTGCTAGTGCTGGGCCCGGGGCCACTTATCAAGAGGTTTGGGGCATGCTGTCACCAGTTGCTGCTTGTTTGAGAGATTTTAGGAAAGTCCGAAGCCTGAGACAGGACAGGCCATTCATGTGGAAATGCCATTGCAAACAGCTTGGGTGGGTCTGCAAACTGTGTGATATGGAGTCTCAGGAAATCACCAGGGCAGGACAAACAGTGTGGACCAGGTTGATGGAGACTTAGATATGGTGCCTGCCTGTTGGGTCTGTAGCAGGGGAGGTCTCAGCATAGGAACAATGAACTCTGCCAGTACTTCTGTCTGTGAGAAAGCTGCCCACAAGTTCTTGCCCTGATGCCAGACAATTTAGTTCCTTCCATATGTCCCCGGATCTTTTCAGCTGCTGCCCCAGTTCTGGTGCTCAGAGGGAGTGAGTCCAAGTAAGTCCATGCAAGGGCCCTTTAGCAGGAACTGCCTGGGACTCCAGCAGCTTTCATGTCATTCAGCCACAATCCCCACTGGTTTTTATAGCCCAAGTTATGAGGACTTCTCTTCCCAGCACAGGAGCCTCCCACAGGACGGTTGGGGCTGGGACCCCTTGCTTCTCACATAGATCTCCCCAGTCAAGATATTCTTCCTGATTAAAAAAACACCACATATGGGTGTTGGGCCAGCCCTTTCCACACCTCCACCCCTCCTACCAGTCTCAATGTGGCTTCTTCTTCAATTCTCTACTTGTAGGACCTCATTCAGCCAGATTTCAGGTAGTTCTGAATGATAGTTGTTCTGCAATTTAGTTGTAATTTTGATGTGGTTTTGGGAGGAGGAGAAAACTGTGTTTATCTATGCCATCATCTTGACCCTCCGTAAAATTAGTTTTTAGATTTTATAAAACTTTATGTTGAAATTCATGTAAACTATACATACAATTTTATAAATCTTTCAAATAAAGTTTCATGTTTCAAAGCATATATTATGTCAAATACTTTAAAACTATAATCATCAAAAATATAAATTAAAAAATCATTTCTAATTCAGTTTTCTGAGTTAGATTTACTAGTATTTCCATAATATTGCTTTAAATTTATATTCATTTTATTGATTTTGTTTGTCAACAAGTATATATATTGCCAATGATTATTGTTTAGGTAATTATTTAGCTCAAGAAATAAGTTGGTCCTAAATCCTATAGAAATTGTAATAAACTTGGAAAGGATAATAAAAAGTCTGAATGGGCCCTAGCAAGTTTGGCTCAGTGGATAGAGTGTTGGCCTGCGAACTGAAGGGTCCCAGGTTCCATTCCAGTCAAGGGCACATACCCAGGTTGTGGGCTCAATCCCTAGTAGGGGGCATGAAGGAGGCAGCCAATCATAATTCCCTCTCATCACTGATGTTTCTATCTATTCTTCTCCCTTCCTCTCTGAAATCAATAGAAAATATATTTAAAAAAAGTCTTGATGGGTGTTTACTTATCTGGGTGCTTATGGATTATTACATGTGCCACAGGATTAGATTGTCATAAAACAGCATTGCACTACAAACAAAATCACTGTCTCCAGGAGAGGGGATTTTGAGCAGGTAGCCAAGGGTTTCTGAACATCCTTGTTGTTATCTGTAAATGAAGGTGATAATCCTCATCTTAGAACTCTTTTTTATACTATACTGGGATAAACAAGTAAAAGGTATAATTCTTGCTGCAGAGAGTTACTTGGGGAATCTCTGTGGTATATTGGGGGACTGGAATCTAATGAGTTTATTCCCGGACTTAAACATTCTTTGGGAAGTAACAACAAGACCTTGGGATCAGAATGTATCCTATTATCAATACATAAAACAAAAAAGTAAGTAAAATTCTCATTTTATTCAGTGACTTTCTATCCAATCACTTTTTAAAAAAATAATCCCTAACACACAATTGGGATAATTATAAAATTCCAGCATGTATTACTATGGTTAAAAACCATACTAATTTTTTTCTTAAAAATCAAAATATAAGCTAAACTGTGAAAATGTATTAATGAACAAAATGTTTTAGTTTTAAATTTTAGGAAGCGTATTCTCCTATTTAGCAACCCTACTGCTGTACAGTTGGCATATAATGACACCAAACAGAACAGTTGCAGGTGGCTCCTCAAGACCTAAACTTAATAACATGTATCAGAAACCCACCATGTCTATGAGGTTGGAACATCTTTTCCAAATATGGATTTTCTTTAAGGGAGGACATTTATAATTTGTATAATTATCTTATTATCAAAACCAAAAGAAAGAGGTCTAACAACAGAGATAAATGTGTTATCTCTTCTTCGTTAGATGAAAACTTAGGTATTTCTTTTTCATATGTGCCATCCCATTATTTAGAGTCTGTTTAATGATTCATTAGAATGTAAACTCAATGAGGGCAGGGACTGTCGCTATGTTTTGTGTTCTGTTTCCATTGCCTAGAATAGAACTGGGCAAATCATATGAAAAAGAAATATGTAAAACAATTCACATATAAAGGTCTTAACTGGCATCAAATATGTCTGCACACATACTTTTAAAAATTTAAGGTTGACTTAGGGGTGACACGTAAAAGGAGAGAAATATGCCAAAGTGCAATCACTGCATTACAAAAATCTAAATGTGGACACCACAAATATCAAATAACTTTAAAAAGATCATTAACACAGTAAAGATAAATTTAATATCAGAATTCTAGTATGAAAAATTATTTTCAGGAAAGGGGCTCCAAAATATTTTTGAAAATGTACCTACTACATACTTTTTTATTCTATGAAAATGTGCTTCGAGATACTCAGAATTTTGTTGAATGCACAGTGAGAAAAAGAATAAAAAACACATTTACATTCAGAAACTAGACCCTGTGCCCTGGTACCTCTAGACAGCATGCCGCCCCTCTTACCTTTCTCACTCAGGACTGGCTTCTTCCAGGTGGGGGAAGAGAAATGGCCAGATTTCTTGTGAGGACCGGTGCTCACCTTTCTCCAGGCACCACTCTCTCCTTTCTTCTTGCTACAACTGTTGTAACTTGAAACTAGGAACAAAGGGAAACTTCCTCCTTTGAAATCAACTGCATGTTGGTGGAGCTCTGAAACAACACAAATCATGTTTTGCCAAAAGGAAGGTAGTGATAATGCAGTAAAATTCTCATTTTATTCAGTGACTTTCTATCCAATCACTTTAAAAAAGAATCACAATTTACTAACACACAATCGAGATAATTATAAAACTCCAGCATGTATTGCAGTTTCATAGTCAGGCAAAATTCTCAAAGAAAGAGACTCTTCAAAATCATGGGCCTGCTTAATACCCAAGCAGGAATTTTGTGACCCAGCACACTTTACTTGGAGGCCTACAATTTAAACATGAGCCAGTAATGGCAAGTCAGAGAGACAGTTCTGGGCCGATGGGATGGTGTGAACTGTTTATTAATGCTGAGATAATGTCTCCATTTACAAGGAGGAAAAACAGAGCTCCCTAGTAACAAAGTAAACAAGTTTGACCTAAGAGTGTGGATTTCCTCTCCTCCCAGCAGGAACCCACATACCTGCTCTCTGGAGGGGACAGCCACACAGAACGGCTTTATTGAGCAAGATGCTGAGAGCAGCTTTCACCACAGTCCGCTGTCCTTGGCTAAGGTGCTTCTTGGCAGTTGTTTGCACAAGGCCAGGCTGTCTTTTCACTGAGGCTGTTGACAATATTGCTTCTTGAACTCTGGGTGCAATGACAGCATTCCACAGCTTAGACATCCACCTTGCAAGAGAGGGGTGACCCCTAGTTAGGACCAGGCCGTGCAGGAATTATACACAACTCTACAAAGGACAGTTTGAAGACCATAAAAAAAATAAGTGTTTCTAAAAATATACTTCATTTCCCACGTAAGTTCTGGGACAAGTGTAATAATCTAACCCCAAAGTAGTTTGACTTTGCCTCATAAATACAATGCATTTCAAATGAAACTGACTGCTTACATGTCCCTCTCCTTTTACTTTATAAGATCCTTGTCATCAGGAATCGAGCCAAGTGTGCATTGGATGAATGCATGAATAAAATACATGGAAAGAGATTTGACTTTAGATTGGGTAAACACACAATGCAATATACAGATGATATATCATACAACTGTACACTTGAAAACTACATAGTTTTATTAACCAATGTCACCCCGATAAATTAAATAAAAATATTTTTTAAAAAAAGAAAATAGCCGAAACCGGTTTGGCTCAGTGGATAGAGCGTCGGCCTGCGGACTGAAGGGTCCCAGGTTCGATTCCGGTCAAGGGCATGTACCTGGGTTGCGGGCACATCCCCAGTGGGAGATGTGCAGGAGGCAGCTGATCGATGTCTCTCTCATCATCGATGTTTCTGACTCTCTATCTCTCTCCCTTCCTCTCTGTAAAAAGTCAATAAAATATATTAAAAAAAAAAAATAAAAAAAAAATAAAAAAAGAAAATAATACATGGAAAGAAAGGTAAATTTATAGACAGAAGAAGTCTGGAAAAAATATGCCTGAAGGTCTGTGTTTATTTCCTTAATAAGACACACATGTACTTTAATATTTCTGAAACTGGGATCCACCTAATAATCACTGGCAAATTTTATCTGCCTGCCCCAAGGCCAGGGCTGAGTCTCTGCCCTCGGTGGGCTTAGTCCTGCAGAAAGGGGACAGGTCAACCAGCCTCAGGCAGACCTTTGCATTAATGACTGTAGCAGTGGAACAAATTTGGAGTAACTAATACCAATTAACATTCCTTCAAAAAAAGATTATATTTTGTTGTAGCCTTAATTAATTAAGGTCACAGAGCCAAAACCCACATCTCCCAGAAGAGGAAATTTTTCAAAGCATTTTAAGACTGTTAAAACTTACCCAAGTATCATGCACCTGTCTATCATAAGCTTCTCTGTTACTGCCTGGTGATATGTAATTCAAGCAAAAAACCCCAACAATACAGAATATAGAAAAAAAATCTGGTATTCAACCACATGAGTCAAACTTGCACAGTTACTTCTAAAAGTGCTAAAGGGGTAAAGATAATTTTTTTTTTAAATGAGTTCTTTCATATGGCTGTTGGGAGACATTTCTCCACGACATTATTTCACACTATATGTCAGCTTTGTTCTTTCCAAGGATGTCAGCAGAGCACGCAGCCTGGGAAGGCAGAGCCCGTGTCTCCTGGAGCAGTGGGCAGATGTGCGCCCTGGCCAGGATAATAAATGGAATGTATCCTTCCAGGACAAAGGGTGGGCCGGTCTGACAGCACCCCCTTAGAAGCCTGGGGATTCCCAAGCTGGGAGCTCTGCGGCTGTGACTCCTGCAAAGCCAGAATCCACCTGGGTCACTGTGTACCGCCCAGGGGGACTTGAGGAGCTCGGGGAACCAGTGAAATATGAAGCCCAGGCTGGGCTGTGTTGTGCGGGATGAAGTCCTTGGCCTCTGACCCCAAACCCTGAACCCGTGGCAGAATAACTTGTTAGCTTGCAAAGAGGGTACGAATCTCAGAGCCTCGACAGTTCTTGACAGTGACTGTGCTCCTGACAGGAAAGGCCAAAGTTGGCTCCTAAGAATCTTGAGACTCTGGATGTGAAAGGCTTAAATGTAATTGTAATATTGATGAAAAAGGGCATAATTAGAGGTACAAATGTATTTTTACTTTTTTAAAGTCCTCATTGAGGATATGTTTATTGATTTTTAGAGAGAGAAGAAGGGAGAGAGAGAGAAGCATTGATCAGCTGCCTCCTGTACACCCCTGACCGGGATCAAACCTTTTTGGTGTACAAGACAGGATAACAAGACAGGAAATACTTTGGCCTAAGAAGTGCTTGAGGTGTGCCCAAGCGGGCCAGGCAGGAGTTGAGTTGGGGCCAGAGGCCAGGGCCCAGTCGACTGTCTTGCACATGGAGTCGCAGGGAGAGAGCACCTGACCTCTGAGCCAGCAGAACACGAGGGCTTGGGTTAGAACAGTGCTTCTTTTCTTACTGAGCCGCTGGCTGGGCTGTATTTCTGCTCTTTAGCAAGGTAATGCTGTGTATATTTTAAACATGGTAATTCTTCCTTTCCCCCAATCGGCTTGAATTGACAGTTTGTCTTATAATAAAGAAGATACATTATTTGCATCCCTGCTTTCTAAAATGGATTTCTGCCCAGGATGCCAGAAATTGCAGAACAAAGCTGACAGCTGATCACAGAACCCTTACTAAGCTGGAGTGTGACAAATTTTTTTCTCCTTTTCAATTTCATCCTGATTTTCTATTTCATTAACCTTATTATTTATATGTCTGTTCTCATAAGCTGCTGCAAAGAAAAGCATGGGAAGTACCTAAGTCTCATTGACATAGCAGAAGCTTTTAATTCATCAATAGAATGTAAGGTTTTGGTTTGTGTGGTTACAGGATACTTGACTGAATCTCTCATGTGGGCCTTCCCCAGGCGACCCTGCACAGCGAGTCACACATGACTTTGATGAGAGTTTTATAAAAGAGGAAAACTGCTATCTGGCTCTTGTTTCCTTAGGAGTGAGCCAACAGACAAGTCACAGCTGTCCTCTGACACTCCATGCTGATGACAGGAGGTAGCACAAACAAATTAGCCACGGCTCTAGGTTAAAAAGGCAAGTAAGGTGAAACGACACTTACTTCACTGTCACTTGGGCATGTCCTGGGACGACAGGACACGACAGGAAATACTTTGGCCCCAGAAGTGCTTCAGGTGTGCCCAGGCGGGCCAGGCAGGAGTTGAGCTGGCGCCAGACGGCCAGGGCCCAGTCCACCGTCTTGCACATGGGATCGCAGGGAGAGGGCACCCGACCTCGGAGCTAAAGGGGAAACATGAGGGTTAGGTTAGAACAGTGCTTCTTTTCCTTTATTTAAAAATGTACGTTTTTATTGATTTCAGAGAAGAAGGGAGAGGGGGAGAGAAATAGAAACATCAATGATGAGAGAGAATCATTGATTGGCTGCCTCCTGCACGCCCCACACTGGGGATCAAGCCTGCAACCTGGGCATGTGCTCTGACTGGGAATTGAACTGTGATCTCCTGGTTCATAGGTCAATGCTCAACCACTGAGCCACGCCAGCTGGGCCTTTTCCTTTTGTTTTTAAAAAGTCCAAAATTAAAAATGTAAACGTTGAAAACTACAAAGTGAAAATGTAGCTGAATATGATTTTATCTTGGAGTGGTTGAAGAAGGGATAGTTAATAACACACTATCATGTGTGTTAGCATGAGAAAGAGACCTGTAACTTATCATATGAAACAAGTTCAGACATGATGGAGCAGTAAATAGGCTAAGGAGAAACCTTGGATGAATTCTTAAACAATTCTGGAAGACAACATTATTCACATGTATATAAGGACCTCACAGGCCTTGCAAGTAGTAGATATTCATAAAAGGATTTTGAATTAATGAAATAAAAAATGACATTAAATATTTGAATTTTGGGGGTGATAAGATCCATGGTACATCAGGATCTGTGTCATGTTCACCTTGAATTAATTTAATTTCCCTAACTAAAATGCTAACTTCCTCAAAATGTATAGAGCTTGGCTGATATGAAATTTGTTTCCAAATTTTAAAATGTGTAAATTTTAAATACTGTGTGACACCCATGGTCTGATAAGAATTATATCTATTCAAGTCCTTTGCCCATTTTTAAATTGGATTGTTTGTCTTCCTGGTATTGAGGTATATGAGTTCTTTATATATTCTGGAAATTAAACCCTTATCAGGTATATCATTGGCAAATATGTTTTCCCATACAGTAGGTTCCCTTTTCATTTTGTTGATGGGTTCTTTTGATGTGCAGAAGCTTTTTAGTTTGATGTACTCCCATTTGTTATTTTTTCCTTTGTTTCCCTTACCTTAAGTGATGTATCAGTGAAAATACTGTTACGTGAGATGTCTCAGATTTCCTGCCTATGTTTTCTTTTAAGATTTATATAGTTTCACAATTTATGTTTAAGTCTTTTATCCATTCTGAGTTTATTCTTGTGTGTGGTGTAAGTTGGTGGTCTAGTTTCATTTTTTTGCATGTACTTGTCCAATTTTCCCAACACCATTTATTGAAGAGATTATCTTTATTCCATTGTATGCTGTTATCATCTTTGTCAAATATTAATTGGCCATATTGGTGTAGGTTGATTTCTGGGGTCTCTGTTCTGTTCCATAGGTCTATATGCCTGTTCTTGTGCCAGTATCAGGCTATTTTGGTTACAATGGCTTTGTAGTATAGGATATCTGGTATTGTGATCCCTCCCACTTTGTTCTTCCTTTTGAATATTCTTGCAGCTATTTGGGATCTTTTTTTGTTTCCTATAAATTTTTGGAATATTCTATGTGAATCTGTGATATATGCCACTGGTATTTTAATAGGGATTGTGTTTAACCTGTAGATTGCTTTGGGTAGAATGGACATTTTAATTATTCTAGTCCATGCACGTGGTGTTTGCTTCCACTTTTGTGTGCCCTCCTCTATTTCCTTTTCCAATGTCCTATAGTTTTCTGAGTACTGATCTTTTACCTCCTTGGTTAAGTTTATTCCCAGGTATCTCTATCGCTTTTTTTTGTTGTTGTTGTTACAATGGTAAATGTAATTTTTTTTTAGTTTCTCTTTCTAAAGGTTCATTATTGGTGTATAAAAATGCCATCAATTTCCAGGTATTAGTTTTGTATCCTGAGGTATCACCTCACACCTGCCAGAATGCATATCATCAATAAATAACAAACAGCAAGTGTTGGCGAGGATGTGGAGAAAAGGGAATCCCAGTACTGCTGGAAGGAATGCTGACTACTAAAGCCACTGTGGAAAACAGTATGAAGGTTCCTCAAAAAATTAAAAATGGATTTGCCATTTGACCCAGCAATTAACTTCTGGGAATACTGGTATATCCTAAGAATCTCAAAGCACAAATTAGAAAGAATACATGCATCCCTATGTTCATAGCAGCATTATTTACAATAGCTAAGATCTGGAAACAGCCCAAGTGCCCATCAAAGATGAGTAGATAAAAAAAGCTGTGTTACATTTACACAATGGAATACTATGCAGCTGCAAAAAAAGGATATCTATTTGAAACAGCATGGAGGGACCCAGAGAGTATTATGCTATGCAAAACAAGTCAGTTAAAGAAAGACAAGTATCATATGATCTCACTTATAAGTGAAATCTAAAGAACAAAATAAAGTGATGAACAAAAAAGGCCAGAGGTATGGAAGCAGGAAGCAGGATAATAGATGTGTGTGTATGTGAGAGATAGGGGGGAAAGGGAGTTGGAAGAGAGAGCACAGGAAGAGATTAGTCAAAGAACATATGAGCATATAAGCATAACCCATGGATACAGACAATAGAATGAGGGAAGACCCGGGGGGGTGTGGGGGGGGGGGTTGGGTGGACGGACGCATAAAGGGAGAAAATGGGAGACATCTGTAATAATGTCAACAATAAAATTCTTTAAAAAAAGGAATTTAAGAAAAAAAACTAGGCCCTGGCTGGTGTGGTTCAGTTACTTGTGCATCATCCCATGCTGAAAGGTTGCCAGTTTGATTCCCGTTCAGGCACATGCCTAGGTTGTGGGCTAGATCCCCCGTAGGGCGAGCTGGATGCAGCTGATCAATGTTTCACTCTCCATTGATGTTTCTCTCTTTCCCTTTCTCTCTCTCTCTCTCTCAAAATTAATGAAAAATCTTAAAAAAAAAACACACAAAAAAACTTGGGTGTCTTGTGATTACTTGTATGATTTTTTTTGGAAAAGACATTTAAGTATTAATAATGATGAGTTAATAGAAGTATCAGTAATTTGAAAAGCTAATGACTTTTCATGGTCTTTACCTTGCCTTTTTTTCTACTGGTTGAAAACATACAAGGGCTGTGCTTTGGTCAAAAGCATCTATAATAATAAAAGGGTAATATGCTAATTAGACCGGACGTCTTCTGGACATCCTTCCTGACAAAGCCGGGGCCCGAGGGAAGCCAGCCTGGGTCCCGGGTGCCTGCGGGTGGCCAGAGGAGGGAAGCCTGGGTCCTGGGTGCCAGAGGGAAGCCGGTGCCAGTGTCGGCAGCCGGGGGAAGGAAGGCCTACTCTTGCATGAATTTTCGTGCATCGGGCCTCTAGTATATTTATAACCAGCCAACTGACTTTAACATAGCTTGGGATAGAATATTTCTCTGATTAAATTAGGAATTTTAGAAAGCAATTCAAATCACTAGTGGTACCCACTGTCCACTGAATTACCATAGCCATTCCCCCTCCCCCCTCCCCCCACACAAATGCATGCTCATTCATATCCTCTAAGACAGTGATCGGCAAACTCATTAGTCAACAGAGCCAAATATCAACAGTACAATGATTGAAATTTCTTTTGAGAGCCAAGTTTTTTAAACTTAAACTATATAGGTAGGTACATTGTTATGAACTTAACACTTGGAGTGGGGGAAACGAGTTAAGTCGGCTCGTGTGAATTGCGCGTACTCCGCGGGAGCCGTCTTTAACTTGGTTCATATAGATTTGCGGTGGAGTGCGGGAAACGTGTAAACTCGGGCTGATTGTAACTGCGTATTACCAAATATTTGTTTGTAATCCACCCAATGATTGAAATTTCTTTTGAGAGCCAAATTTTTTAAACTTAAACTATATAGGTAGGTACATTGTTATGAACTTAATTAGGGTACTCCTAAGGCTTAGGAAGAGCCACATTCAAGGGGCCAAAGAGCCACATGTGGCTTGCGAGCCGCAGTTTGCTGACCACAGCTCTCAGACAACAGACACAATTTTGTTCAGAAAAAGGTGCTTTCCTCTCTAAGGAGATTAACAAAGCTTTTTATCTGCCACATACCCTGCTTCCTATCTTTGAACATGTCTGAGGGAGTATGTGCCTGAAGTGCTGCAGACAGACAGCCTGCACTCTTGAAGGGAGATCAGGAGACTCCCCCAGACCCGGCACGTGACATGGTGAGGTGCTTAACTGACATCGGCAAAACCTACCGTCTGACATTTGGTTATGGTGAGGGGAAAAAGCCTCTTCTTGTGGAGCAGCTAGCATAGGGGTATTGTGTTAGTTACAGCTTGAAAATACGGTGCTGATCCAAGGAGTCCCATTGTGCAGGATTAAATGAACAAAATCGGCTAAATCAAACTTTTATTTAAAATCCACCTAGACACTCAGCTACTGACCAAACTTTAGAATGTTAAATTAAATAGTATTGTACTAGATTTGATTAGCCTTAAGTTAATTTTGTTATTTGGGTGAATATAGAACATTTCTTTTAATATTCTGAAAAATCACTAAAAGTTATTATTACTCTTAAAAATGTGCTTAAAGAGGCTTCTGGTCAAGATGGCAGAGAAGGTAAATGCTGCACTCACCTCCTCCCCTGACCACATCAGAAGTACAACCAAATCACAGAACCACACCATTCAGAACGCCTGAGGACTAGCTGAACAGTTCTACAGCTAAGGATATACAGAAGAAGCCACACTGACACTAGTGGGGGGGGCGGAGACACAGAATGAGCAGGTCCCACACCCACAATTGGTGGTGGTAAAAAATCGAGAGGGATATCTGAGTTGCAAAGGTCTTCCCTGAGGAGTGAGGAATCCCAGCCCCATACCCGGCTCCCCAGCCCTGGGTTCTAGCGCCAGGAAAGGAAGTCCTCACAACTTCTGGCTGTGAAAACCAGTGGGGATTGTGGCTGAGACAAAGAGCTCCTGGAGTCACAGGGGTTCCTCTTAAAGATCCTGCACACAAACTTACTCACTGATAGACTCACTCACTGTGAGATACAGTGCTGGGGCAGAAGCTCAAAAGGAGCCAGGGACGGATGAGGTGGGACTGACCTGTCTGGCTTTAGCAGGAGGGCTGGCTTCAACATAAGTGCTGGCAAGAGGCCATTGTTCCTTTGCTGTGCCCCCCACCTGCACGAGAAAATGGGAGCCGTATCTGAGTCTCCATCCACATGGCTAACACTGTTTGCTCTCCTTGGTGATTCCCTGAGACCCCACCCACCACACCCAACTGGTGGGGTGACCCATGCTCTTTCTGGCGGCTTTTCCATATAAACAGCCTGTCTTGGCTCATGCTCCAGTCTTTCCAAAAATCACTCAAAGGATCACAGGCTCACACAAGTAGCATCTGGTCTCACATACCTCATACCTCTTACTAGGCAACCTCAAGCCCAGCAATAGTGGAAGCCAGCTTCAGTTCACAGGTTAGCCTCTCCCAGGCACCTCCAATCCCAGAACAAGTGGCAACCATCTTCACAGCACCTTGTAGCTCATACCAAGTGGCTCTGGGGAAGGGCACAGGCAGTGGCTAACCATGGCCTATACCAGAGCCACTCTCAGGAAGTTCTAGAACTAACACACCTGGTGGCCAGCTTTGGATCACAGCAGAGCACCACCCACCACTTCCACAAAGGATTCAGCCAAAGGGCAGACTCAGCAGGCACCAGAGCCTCCTAAAGCAAATCTTGCTCTGTAGGGTCAGCCCCTGTACAACAGCTCCTCCACTGTAGTCATGGGCAACCCTCACTACCAATCAGCCTGAGGATCAATCCCTCTCAATTATGGTCAAATAGCAATAATGGCTCATCTACAACAGGAGGACACACATAATCCACATGAGGGACACAGTTGGAGCACCCAGCTCAGGGGACAAGGGTGATTGTGTGACTGGGCCCCAAAGGACACCTAATACGTAAGACCACACTATCAAGACTAAGAGACATAGCAGCTCTACCTAATTCATAGACACAAACACACGGAGGCAGACAAAATGAGGAGACAAAGAAACATGAAATGAAAGAACAGAAAAAAAAACTCCAGAAAAAGAACTGAACAAAATGGAGACAATCTACCAGATACAGAGTTCAAAACACTGGTTATAAGGGTGCTCAATGACTCAATGAGAACTTGAGCAAAGAGGCAGGAAACATAAAAATCTATAATAATAAAAGTGTAATATGCTAATTAGACTGGATGTCCTTCTGGAAGACCTTCCAGATGAAGCTGGGGCTGTGAGGGAAGCCTGGGTCCTGGGTGCCTGCTGATGGCCGGAGGGAAGCCGGGGTCCCAGGTGCCAGAGGGAAGCCAGTGTCGGCAGCCAGGGGAAGGAAGGCCTACTCTTGCACAAATTCCATGCATTGGGCCTCTAGTGTAGATATAAAACAAAAAAGAACTTTTCAGACATGAAGAATATCATTGAACTGAAGAATACATTAGAGGTAATTAACAGTACATTAGATGAAGTAGAGGATCAAATCAGCAATTTGGAAGATAAGGTAGCAGAAAACACCCAATCAGAACAGCAAAAAGGAATCTAGCCTGGCCTGCATGACTCAGTGGTTGAGCATTGACCTATGAACCAGGAGGTCATGGTTTGATTCCTGGTCAGAGCATATGTTTGGGTTGTGGGTTCAATTTCCCAGTGTGGGGCATGTAGGAGGCAGACAATCAATGTCTCTCCTTCTCCCTCTCTGAAATCAATAAAAATATATTTAAAAAAGGAAAAAAAAAGGAATCTAAAAAAATGAGGATAGTTTAAGGGGCCCCTGGGAAAATGCCAAGAATACAAACATTTGCATTACAGGGTTACCAGAAGGAGAAGAGAGAGAGCAAGGGATTGAAAACATATTTGAAGAAATAATGAGGGAAAATTTCCCTAACCTGGTGAAGGAAATACAAGCCCAGGAATTGCAGTCCCAAACATGATGAACCCAAAGAGGCACACATCAAGATATACTGTAAATTAAAATGTCAAAAGTTAAAGGCAAAGGGAGAATCTTAAAAGCAGCAAGAGAAGCAGTTGGTTACCTACAAGGGAGCTCTGTGCAAGTGTCAGCTGATTTCTCAACAGAAATATATCAGGCCAGAAGGGACTGGTATGAAATATTCAGAATGATGAACAGCAAGTATTTATAAGCAACATTAGTTAATCCAGCAAAGCTATCATTTAGAACTGAAGAACAGATATGAAAATTGAAGAACAGATGAAGGGCTTCCCAGACTCGTTTAAAGGGCTAAATGAGCCCATCACCACCAAACCAGTATTACAAGAAATATTAAAGGGACTCTTTAAGAAAAAAAAGAAAAAAGAAAAATATATGAATAAAATGGTAACAATTACTTTAAATGTAAATGGACTAAATGTTCCAATCAAAAGATATATGTGGCTGAATGGATAACAAAATAATACCCTTAAGGTATTAAGCAAAGAAAAAAAAAGAAGACGACTCATGGACACAGGCAGCAATATAGTGACTGCCAGAGGGAAAGGGGCTTGGGAGAGGTAGAAGAGAGTAAAGGAAGGCTAAATGGTAATGGAAGGAGATTTGAGTTGGGTTGGTAAATACACAATACAGTATACAGATGATGTACTGTATATTTGTATACCTCAAACCTATATAATTTTATTAACCAACTAGAGGCCCGATGCATGAAATTCACGCATATCCAGTCCATCTTGCTCAGTCCTGATTGGCTGGACCCTAGCAGCAAGCTAACCTACCGGTCGTAGCATCTGCCCCCTGGTGTTAGTACGTCATAGCGACTGGTCGACCGTGACCTATCGACTGTCTGCCCCCTGGTGGTCAGTGCACGTCATAGTGAGCAGTTGAGTGGCCTTAGCATATCATTAGCATATTACGCTTTGATTGGTTGAACAGCCGACTGGTCAACCAGACACCTAGCATATTAGGCTTTTATTATATAGGACTAGAGGCCTGGTGCACTCGGCGGGGAGGGTCCCACAGCCCGGCCTGTGCCCTCTCGCAGTCTGGGACCCCTTGGGGGATGACCACCTGCTGGCTCAGGCCTGCTCCCCGGGGGATTGGGCCTAAGCTGGCAATCAGACATCCCTCTGGCAGCCCGGGAGCCCTCGGGGGATGTCCACTTGCCAGCGGGGAGCAGGCCTAAGCTGCAGTCTGACATCCTTAGTGCTGCTGAGGAGGCGGGAGAGGCTCCCACCACCACCGCTGTACTGGCAGCCATCAGCCTGACTTGTGGCTGAGCAGAGCTCCCCCTGTGGGAGCGCACTGACCACCAGGAGCTGCATTGAGCATCTGCCCCCTGGTGGTCAGTGTGTGTCACAGTGACCAGTCATTCCCAGTCGTTCTGCTGTTAGGGTCAGTTTGCATATTACCCTTTTATAATATAGGATAGAGGCCTGGTGCATGGGAGGGGGTCGGCTGGTTTGCCCTGAAGGGTGTCCCGGATCAGGGTGGGGGTCCTGCTGGGGTGCCTGGCCAGCCTGGGTGAGGGGCTGATGGGTGTTTGCAGGCTGGTCAGAGCCCCTTCAGGGTGGGGGTCCCCACTGGGGTTCCTGACCAGCCTGTGAGGGGCTGATGGATGTTTGCAGGCTGGTCACACCCCCTTTAGGATGGGGGTCCCCACTGGGGTGCCTTGCCAGTCTGGGTGAGGGGCTGAGAGCCGTTTTCAGGCTGGCCAACCCCCCCTGGCGATGGAAGCTCCCAGCCTCTCCTTTTTTTCTTTTATTCTGGGATTTATTTACCTTCTATAATTGAAACTTTGTTGTCTTCAGTGGAGCTCAGAGCTGGCCATGGCAGGCAGGAAGCTTGGCTTCCTCCATCACTGGAGCAACCAAGCCTCCTGTTCGCTCCAGCTCCGTGGCTGCCGGCCGCCATCTTGGTTGGGTTAATTTGCATATAGTCACTCTGATTGGCTGGTGGGCATGGCTTAAGGCATAGCAAAGGTATGGTCAATTTGCATGTTTGTCTTTTCTTAGATTAGATAGCCAAGATATGAAGCAACCTAGGTGTATATCAGTGGATTTATTGGGGTCTTCACTTCATAAGTTTCATAAATGTCTAATTGCTATGTTGTACACCTGAAACTAATATACTGTATGTCAACTGTAATTGAAATATAAAAAAATGTTAAAATATAAAATGTGTCAAAAGAGAATTCTAATTTTTCATGTCACTTTTTAGTATTACTGTGGCAGGTTTAAGTCATATATTAAAAGTAGCTTGAATAGATGGATAATATTCTGAAGGCCCCTGTAGCAGTGGCTCCTCCTTAAGAAGAGTAATTTACCAATCTAGTCTTCCACAGAACTTAGAACTTGGTGAGATGCCCTGAGAAGAATTAATAATGGTAAAACCTATTTGCCTTTTTCAAAAAACTTAACATAGTCCAGAAACTTTATGGGTTTTATATGCGTTCTCTTATTCAACCCTTGACTATCCAAACACTGCACTTGCCTGAGGCCACACGATTACTAAAAGATAAGACCAAGCCCAGGTCTCCCAAAGCCCCTCTCCCAACAATAGGCTGCAGCTGTGGGTTTTACCTTATTCACAACTTTCCTTCTTAAGGACCTCTGCAGCAGGCCCTGCATGGGCTCGCCATCCCACCGCAGCTGCACCCAGCGGAAATGCTGCTGCACCAGCAAGTCGGAGCCCTGGAGGCAGGCTTTGGCAATGGTGCCCATCAGAAAGCAGTTCTCATGAAAGTAGTAACATTCCGGCATTCCGTTTCCTAAAATAAGCCATATTACGGGACACATGCAAATTACAATAAGTCAAAGAAAGAACATGAAGTCTAGCATGTATTCTGGGGAACAGAAAATGTAGAATAGTCTCATGGGAGCTTGCTTCTCAGCATGCTCTCATCTCGCCACAATCTTTACCTTTTGAAAAAGTACAGGGGCTTTCAGTGCTGCGATTTTCCAGAGGTGCCAAGAAATCTTCCAATAACTCAGACAGTGAAGCTTTTTCCAAGTTTTCTAAGATGATGATGATTTTCTTATTAACAGGAGATTGTTTCACTGGGATCAGATAAGCTGTGGTCAGAAATGAAATGCAGTGATTCAAGCTTTTACAAAATATGAATGGGCAAAATTTACCAAGTCTGAAGATATAAAATTTTAGCAAAGATGTGACATACTAAGAATGCTCTTCAATTGCTGACCCAGTAGAAGGACTCTGGCCAACAGTTTGGCACTATTTAATAGAAATGAAGATACACACACACAACCATCCAATAGCAGTTCCAAAGCAGATCCCAAATGGAATCACTTCAACTGTCCACCAACAGTAGAGTGGAATAATAGGAATATATTCATGCAATGGATATTAAAGTGAACAAAGAGGCTTCCTTTTGAATGGATCTGCTGTTTTCTGGATTTCATCTCTGTCCCTTTAAAGAGTTATTCACTCATTTTGGTGGAGACATCCTCTTAATTTCCCAGAAAGAATCAAGATGGTGGCATAGGTAAATGCCCGTACTGGCCGCTTCCCACAACCACATCAAAATTACAGCTAAAATACAGACCACCATCATTCAGAACCACCTGAAAGCTGGCTGAATGGAAATCCCACAGCTAGAGAAGTAAAGAAGAAAAGCACATTGAGACTGGTAGGAGGGGCAGAGGCACATAACCGTGGGTCTGACACACATGTGTGCCATTTTTGTAATCAGGAGGGAGATCATCTCTGTGGAGACTACCCATGAGGAGCAAGGGGCCCCAGCTCCACACCAGAGCCCCAGCCCAGGGTTCCAGAGCTGGAAAGAGAAGTCCTTGTAATTTCAGGATTGTAGCTGAGTGATAAGGAGGTGGCTGGAATCCTAGGTGTTCCTCTTAAAGGGTGAGTGCACAAACTTACATGATTGATCCTACTTCTTCTGAGCTTTAGCGCCAGAGGACCCAGACACATATGGGGAGGAACTGATTGCTGGCATCAGGGCAGGAACTTGGGGGTGGCTTTCTCCTAGACAGGGATGCTCATAGAGGTCATTATTCCTGTGCTGTGACTTCCCCTGTCATAGGCTGACTGGCAGCCATTATTGAGTCTTCAACAGTCCAGAGCAACTGTTTGCTACACCCAGTGATTCCCTGAAACCCCATCCCATCCAATAAGCCCCACCCAAGCTGTTTGCAGCAGCTTTTCCATATGAATGACCTGTCCTGGCTCAGGCTTCAGACTTTGCTAAAATCTCTCAAACAAGCTGCAGCTGGTGCCAGAGTGCCCCAATCCTATCAATAAAAGGCCCAAGACTCAGCACTAGCACCAGCCTGCCTTGCTTCACAGCTGGGCTTTGCCTGGGCACCTCCAAGCCCAATACAAACAGGAAATAGCCATCTGCAGATCTCTCTGTAGCTCCTGCCAGGTGGCCCCAGGAAGTGGCTGGCTTTGCACCTCCCTGGAGGCCCTAGAGCCAGTGCACCTGGTGGACAGCTTCAGATCATAACAGATTACAACACTACACATCCACAAGTGACACACTCAAGAGGCAGACTCAGTGAGCACCAAAGCCCCACTGAAGCAAGTCCTCCTCCATAGGGGTGTTTCCTGCACAGCAGCTTTTCCACTATAGTCACAGCTGGTCTTCACAGCCAATTAGCCCGTAAGTTTACTTCTCCCAGTGATGCCAACAGCAATCAAGGCTCAATAAAACTGTACACAGCCCACACAGGGGCAGACTTAAAGTGCTGAGCCACTGGGCCCTGCAGGACATCTACCACACAAGGCCACTCTACCAATTCCAGGAGATACAGCAGCTACACCTAATCCACAAAAACAAACACAGGGAAGCAGCCAAAATGCAGAGACAAAGAAACATGTCACAAATGGAAGAAATGGAAGAAAGCAAACTACTTGGATACTCAGAGTTCAAAACCATGGTTATAAGGTTACTCAAGGCTCTTTATGAGACTTTCAAGGATTTTAGTGAGAATGTCAAAGTCATGAAAAAAAACAACACATCAGTAAAAAATTAAGCATACACAAAGTGAAATAAAGAATAATTTATAGGGATTCAACAGTAGAGTAAGTTCTGAGAATCAAATCAATGATTTGGGATATGAGAAAGCAAAAAACACCCAATCACAGTAGCAAAAAGAAAAAAGAATCCAAAAATATGAAGATAATGTAAGGAGTCTCTGGGACAACTTCAAGTGTACCAATATTTACATTATAGGGGTGCTATAAGGAGAAGAGAGAGAACAAGATGTTGAAAACCTATTTGAAGAAATAATGATAGAAAACTTCCCTTACATGGTGAAAGAAATAGACTTACAAGTCCAGGAAGCACAGAGAATCCCAAACAAGAGGAATCCAAAGAGGCCCACAACAGGACATATCATAATTAAAATGCCAAGGGTAAATACATAGAGAGAATCTTAAAAGCAGCAAGAGAAAAGCAGTTAGTTACAAGGGATGGCCCATACGACTGTCAGCTGATTTCTTAACAGAAACATATCAGACCAGAAGGGAGTGGCAAGAAATATTCAAAGTGATGAACAGCAAGGACCTACAGCCAAGATTACTCTTCTGAGACTGAAATAGCTTTTCTGTATACTGTGAAGCTTTAAAAATTAGACTAGAAACAATAACAGCCACCTCTGAATTTAGTTGTATTTGTGGGAGCTGTTACACTAGTGTCTGGTGTGTGCTGGATTCCCTTCAACCAAGTTATTCAGTAAAAAGTGTTAAAATACTGTGCATCTCAGTGTTTAAATGCTCTCTCGGGAATACATTGATTATGGAAGTATGATAAATCTATAGCTTGTTAAAATAATGATGAAAAACTAACAAACCAGTAATAAAAAACATATTAGGTTGAATGATTTGTGTATCCACTTTCCTGTAACTAAGGACTAAAGGTTTTTCCTTGATTAGTGTTAGTTGTCTGGCTAGTTCCAGTGGCCCTAAAGCTTCGGTATCCAGCAGCCAGAATCCATCTTCAGAAACATGTAACTGCATTTCAACAAACATTTATCCAGTGCTCCCTAACTTTATGTCCCATGTTAAGTGTTATGTCTTATCATAGGTGACTAATTCTAATTGGGAGTGTGGCATTTTAAACTAAAATATTATGAGGAATGACATCTTAATAGGTTATGAGAAGGTGTTCTAGGTTTAAGAAATGGCATACATAGGCAGAGAATGGAGGCTGGGCAGGGCTCAGGTCAGGAAAGTGAAAATAGCTGCCTGACAGTGACTCAAAATTGATACTTTCCTCGAGTCAGGACTGGCTGGGAGCTTGTTGTGGCACCACATTGGTGGAATGGGATGTAGCAGCAGCACAGCAGGCTGTGTCCTCCTGGGGCTGGGGCTGGGGCTGCATGGTACAATCACCTGGGACCCATTCCCAGAGGCTATGATTTAATTGGCCTGTGCTTGGCCTGAGCACTTCGTGTGCAGCCAGGGTGAGACCTGCTGCTAAGATCACAACCCGACCACAAATGAAAAGTGGAATGCCATGTTGGGAGGGAGAAACTACCAGCTCTGAGGACCAGTGGAACTGTTTAAGGAGGAAGATCAACAGGGTTTGAGTCCTGCTTTGAGATCTCACTTTGTCTTTTTAAATTTTCATATAAATTATTTTTTTGTTTGCTTTTCAATTATAGTTGACATACAATATTATATGTCGCTCCAGTGATTAGATATTATAAAACTTGAGTGATTATCCCAAAAATTCTCATACCAAAACACATCATAATTAAAATGCCACAGGTTAAAGACAAAGAGAATCTTAAAAGCAGCTAGAGAAAATCAGCTAGTTAGCTACAAGAGAGCTCCCATACAACTGTCAGCTGATTTCTCAACAGAAACTATGCAGGCCAGAAGGGAGTGGCAAGAAATACTCAAAGTGATGAATAGCAAGGACCTGCAACCAAGATTACTCTACCCAGCAAAGCTATCATGTAGAATTGAAGGCCAGATAAGGAGCTTCCCAGACAAGGAAAAGCTAAAGGAGTTCATCACCACCAAACCAGTATGACATGCAATGTTAAAGAGATCTTACTCTCATGTAAAGAACTGACTGGAGAAGAAAGATACAGGAGAATGCACCTACAGGCTTTTATTGCTGAAGTGAAGGACCTCATTCAAGGCAGAGGATGAAAAGGCATCTGGAGAGAGGTCAATAAGGCTCAGGGGTAGCAGTCTAGAGAGGGGGGTAGAGAGGAAATATCAGTGACAACCGGGGTTCCCACCAGAGAAGAGGTTGTGCAGTGAATGGAGGCAGAGAGCACATGAGCAAGAGTATACTCGGAGAGGGGGTGGGGGTACTAATTTATGGTTCAGGCCTGATGTGCTTGAAAAGTACAGGGCCTCTCTGAGATGTCCAGCAGGTGGTGGGACGTGAAGATGGGAGCAGCAAGTGAGGATTCAGGCTGCAAATGAAATAAATGAGTTTACAGAAAAGAGACGGCAAACTCATTCCCCTGGATCCACAAGCAAGAACTGAGTTGCTAATGACTTCGTTAATCCCACATTTAATGTACAATTCGTGTCCTAAACAGGATTGCTGTTCCTAACAGTTGGGTTGGGTTTCGCCCTCATCTTTGTTTACCTTAGTCTCCCAGGAGATACCAGCAAGGGTCAAGCAGACTGGGTTTCTCCAGTGAAAGCTTTGTCTTCAACACTGCCAGCCTCATTTCCTCCATTTTTCAGTACCACTTATTCCTCCATCTGACCATTTAGTTCAACATCCTCAAACAACTTAGTCCAAAGGCAAATTTTTAGTTGAGAAATAGCATGTGTCTAATTCAGGTAATTTAGCATAGTTTCAGGTCTATTATTTTAACCAACCACAGAAGCAGGAAGTCATTACGGTTTCCAGTTTGAAGGGTTAAGCCTCTCTCTGATCAGGGTTTATGGAGACAAAAGACTACCCACTCCGTGTTGGAACTGGAGAGTCCTTCTGGCCTGATGCCAGAAAGTTAACCGTTTGGAATGCTTTTGCCTTATGCTACTTCAAAGTCCCATTTCAGAAACTTATCTACTCTTTTTTGCCCCCTTTTTTTCTCCCAACATTATAGGCTATGTCAGCCCT